CCACCCGCACTGGTTTCCTCCACCTTCTCCAACAATCATTTAGAAGTTTGTTCCCGTCCACTCTCTCCTCAGTCACATCTTTCCTGGCATCATTAAGAACAGCGTAATTTGAAATGGGTTTTTTTTTCTTTCTCTTTTGGTCTGCATAAATGGTCTGTGGGTTTATTTCATTCCAGATGTTTTCTCCCAATCTGTCTTTCCTAAGAAATCCAGAATTATTTTTAAACATAATTTGGGGGCTTCCAAATAAAACAAATATCCTAATTGCCTGTGGGTTGTGAAGTTACAAGTCCTTTCTTGGTGGTAGGGAGAGCAGAAGAACAGGGCTGGCTCTGGGGACAAAGTGAGGCCTCTGAGCCTGACCCTGTGGCTGGCCTGTCTTCCCTGTCTCTCTTTTCCACTTCTTGGGCATTGTTATGGACTGAATGTTTGTGTGTCCCTCCCAGATTCATATGTTGAAGGCCTGATCCCCAGTGTGACTGTATTTGGAGATGGGGCCCCTAAGGAGGTAATTAAGGCACGATGAAGTCATAAGAGTGGGGCCCTGATCCCATAAGATTAGTGGCCTTATGAGAAGAGACACAAGAGACCTTGCTGTCTCTCTCCATGCACACTCAAAGGAAAGGCCACGTGAAGACGCAGCATTCTTCTTCTACAAGCCAGGAGGAGAGCTGTCACCAGAAACTGAACACTGCAGGCCCTTGATCTGGGACTTGCAGCCTCCAGAGTGTGAGAAGATACGTTTCTGTTGTTTAAGCTGTGTAGTCTGTGTATTCTGTTGTGGCAGCTGAGCTGACTAAAACAGGCATCAACCCCAGTGCCCTCTGGCTGCCCCTGGGACACCCTCCTTGAGCAACTCACTTCTGTCCCATGAGACACACCACACAGGTCTTCTGCTGAATTTTGTCAGCATCTTTTTTCCCCAGGAGCTAATCTGATAGAGTGACTCATACTGAGATAACACCAAAACACACCGCCTCTCCTCCTTAATACATTAATGGGAACTTAATGCCTTAACCCAGTGTTTCTCAACTCTGGCCACACAGGAGAATCTCCACGCCCCACCCACCCCAGATCCGGGGATAATGCCCTGGAAACTGGATTTTTTAAAAAGTAGTTTCTATTTCTTATTATAAAGGTAACACGTGCTCCTAGCTTTTGTTGCTATTCCTGTAAACATTACAGAGACATTTTAAGTGAAAGGTGAAGTCTCCCTTCTTGCTATCCCAGTCCCACTCCTCGGGAGCAGATGCTGTTCAGGCTTTTACGTGTCTCTTCAGAAGTTGTCTCTGTGCATTTTGCCGCATCCCAAATGTTTATTTTTACACAAATGTGATCAAATGATCACACTTGCTTTTTTTCCCCCAGTGAATCTTGGAGAACTTTCCACATCACTACAGACTGAGTGACCTCATTCTTCCTAAGATTTGCATCACACCGCACCAGGTGGGTGGCCTCCCATCTTGGCCCACAGGAAGCTCAGGTGGTTGTGGAGGGTCTGCTGGAGGGGTGGCTCCTCCGTGAAAGGGAGGCCGGGTCAGTGCTGTCTAGGACGTCCTCTAACTTCAAGAACCATGGGTCTTCTGGTGCATTTCTTCAGCATCCTTTTTGTCTGGGAGCTAATCTGAATGGTTTCTGTAAGGTAACACCATAGTGCCACAGTGCGAAGATGCCACCAGAGCGTAGCGCTCTTCTGCAGGAATACATGTGAGAAAGCCTGTGTGATTGCGGGATAATGTACACTTCCAAGAAGAACTCCAGAGGCACCCTGGCTGTCTGAAATGCTTCATTCACTTGAGTGTGGGCCCCAGGACACTCCAGGGGACTGCGGGCGGTGAGGTTGACCTGGATGGTTCCTCAATAGGAACAGAGGAAAGAGCAGGCACATCCCGGGGCATCGTTCTCAGAATGAACCTGTGACTTCACAGGGACAAAAAGACTAGAGAAAGTGTGTAATTTGATTTATTAGATAATTAAACTAATAATCTAGTTTCCCACTGTGTAGAGGGGTTTCCCTCTGAATTTTTGAACTATTTCATTGTCCTTTCCCATGTGTCAATGTGGAAGAAAACCTCCCTCCAGTTCTGGTTCTGTCACTACCTTGGCATGTGATGTTAGAAAAGTCTTTCAATCTAACTTGGTACCAGTTTCCTTATCTATAAAGTGAGATGAGTATGGGGCCAGGCCGGTGGCACAGTGGTTAAGTTCACACGTTCCGCTTTGGCAGACCAGGGTTCGGATCCTGGGTGCGACCTATGAACCGCTTGTCAGGCCATGCTGTGGCAGGTGTCCCACATAAAGTAGAGGAAGATGGGCCCGGATGTTAGCTCAAGGCCAGTCTTTCTCGGCAAAAAGAGGAGGATGGGTGGCAGATGCTAGCTCAGGGCTAATCTTCCTGAAAAAATAAATAAATGAATAAAAAATGAAAAATAAAATGTGGTGAGTACAGTAGACAATTTTTAAGGTGATTTCTGGCTTTAAAATTCTAGGTTCCGTGACTGTGACCATACATAAACCATGAAGGAATTTTTTAAAAATCACAACGGCATTCAGTTATTTGGAGAACAGGTGGTGGAATCCCGATACCCAGCTGGATGCTTCCCATTTACACTGTTGTTTTCCTGACTTGAGTAGCTCCTTTCCTTTTGAACCTCTCTGTAAGTACGGAGATTTAGAGCATTTGACCTTGATGGTTTGAGCCTACTTTCTTCCAGAATTACCACCATCCTGCCACTTATTTCACAAGGATATTGTTTAACTTAATGCATCATCATAATAATTGTGTCTTAGATGTACATGAGCTTTCACAGCGCACCATGAATGGTATTTTAGAAAGCACGTGGGTTTTTCAGGAAGAGATATGTGGGTTTGAATTTGCCTTGTAGCAGCAGGAATTTGGTCGCAAATAGAAACTTTCTGGTTAACTTAAGCATAAGAGGAATTTATGTGGGGAGCAATGGGTAATTCACAGAGGCCCCGAGTGGTGGAAGGTGCTGGCTGGGGCAGGACCCAGGAGACGAGGCTGGTCAAGAAGCTGCCTCGGGAGGTGGGAGGTGGGAGGCAGGAGGCGCCGACTTGGGGGGTGTGGAGAACTTGTCACTGCACGACTGGGCCACCTCATATAGTCCCTAACTGACCTTGTGCCTTGGCTTGTCTCCCTCAAGGGTCAAATTTTGAGCAACCAGAGAGTAGGAGGGGGGAATATCTTCCCTTTCAGCTTGGTTTCCACAGTGGGAGGTGGAACCATCCTGCCACTTATCCTGACGTTCCTCCCAAGTGAGAAGTATGGCCACAATCAGACATCCATACGCTAAGGAAAAGAACCGTGGTTCTCACCTTGCACCATATACGGAGAGTAAGTCAAGTTGGACCACTGACCTAAATGCAAGATTGAAAACTACAAAACTTCTGGAAGAAAGCATACAATAGTATATCCATACATGAAGCAGCTAAAATGACAAGCCTTCACCACATGGCTCTACCATCTACTACTACCAGCTGAAGGACCTTGGTGAAATGAGGACAGGGACAACACCATCTCTGGGGCCATCTCTACGGATTCAGTGGGAACATATGTAAGACCGCAGCCCAGGGCCTGACGCTGGTGCCCCCCTCACCCCGCCACCCCATGTAGCAATGTTCCCCTGAGCCTAACCTGAAGCTCGGGCATCCCGGGATTCCTGGGCATGTCTGGGGGGTTGGCAGCACTCCCAGTCTCCCAGTGTCATTCTGCCGGGCGGGGAAGGGGTCTGAGAGGGGCCAGATCATTTTGACACCTCTTGGTTTTTGCAGCAGCTTTAAGAACCCTGCCATTCAGCTTCCCCTGGGGGTAGAGGTAGTTGCACAGAGGGTCTCTCAGGCAGCGACTTGAGAGAGAAGCTTACGTGGGGTTTCTCCCAAGACACTCCCAGGAGTTCCCAAAAACACCTCTGGTGAGGCTTACTGTGGAGGAGTGCTGCAGGCCATGTCAGCAGGTGGGAGGCATGAGCCGTGACATCTGTTAATGGGGATTCATCTGTCCTTCTGGCTGCTGGTGCCTGCGAGAACACAGGATGCACATACATCCTCTCATTGGATTCCCATTACATCCGTTTGAGGTGGGCAGAGCAAGTACTGGTAGGCCCATTTTTTTCCCTGGAGGAAGAAACTAGGTGGCCAGACTAGAGGAGACTTGCTGAGGCCACTTAGCTTGGCCCGTGGGCTTGTTTTCCTGATCCGGAGCCCAGCATCCTCTCTACCATCCAACACTTCTTCCTTTGTTCGTACCTCCATTATTAGAACACCTGGATATTCTTAGCTAACAATGGATGACATAAATAAACACGCGGCCATTTCCCCACATTTCCGCACGGATCCACTGCAGAGGGCAGAGCCCTTTCTCTGAACACACTGCACAAAAAGGCATTTCACAGAGTGGAAAGAGAGCTTCAGTGTTAATCATCACGGAGTGGCGGAAACTGGCTTTGCAGGGGCTGGAATGCACTTCAGGGTAGATGGGCAGCCCTGCTCGCTGTCAGGGGACCCCCTAGGGATGGAAAGTCAGGGCTGCCACTGTAGGGCTGGGACAGAGAGCTTCTGCTGAGCCAGGGAACAGGTGTTTGGACTCAGTCCCCCAGGGAGAGCGCCGTCTGCTGCCATCCCTGTAGAACCTGGACGGAAGCTCCGAGCGCTTTGTTAGTAGGCCAGCATCCTGCCCTGGCCCTGAGGCTGAGGGGGGGGGGGGGGGGGGGGGTGACTGCCTGTAAGACTGGTCTGGAATTCTCCATGCCTTTACTGAGCCAAGGAGGAGGATCAAAATAGACCCTGGAGGGCAGGCCCGGTGGCACAGTGGTTAAGTGCACACGTTCCGCTTTGGCGGCCCGGGGTTCGCCGGTTCGGGTCCCGGGTACGGACATAGCACCACTTGACAAGCCATGCTGTGGTAGGCATCCCACATATAAAGTGGAGGAAGAAGGGCACAGATGTTAGCTCAGGGCCAGCCTTCCTCAGCAAAAAGAGGAGGAGTGGCAGCAGATGTTAGCTCAGGGCTAATCTTCCTCAAAAAAAAAAAAAAAAAAAAAAGACCCTGGAAGAAAGAAGAGGTCAGAGGCTAGGAGAAGCCGCTTCTTATGTCAGGCTGGAAGGTATAGTAGAATTGGGGTCCGGGGGTAGTGTCAAGAGCCAATAGGGATAAGGGTTAAGGTGAAGAGCCCCTCTTGTCAAACTCTCATACCCAGCCCACTGTAGACAATCAATGACTCTTTGTTGAAGTCATCACTTGAATAGTTCAGCAACCAAGGACAGTCTTTTGGGGGTGCGGGCGGCTCCTAACAGGAGCTGCAGTGGGCACAGCAGGGCAGGGAGGTCTATGTGGCTGAGGCCCTTTGGAGCCCCACAAACCCCAGTGTCAAGGCTTCTCTGACTCCCAGCCAAAGCGGCCTCCCCCTCCGCTGCTTTTTACTCTGCCATAGGGGCAATCAGACCTCCCACAAAGTGTGTAAATCCCCACGAAGTAGCAAGCCTCCCGTTGTCAGCCCAAAAGGGAAAAGTAGACAGCTATCTAATGCTTTGAAATTTCAGCTCACAAACAGGCTAGAAAGCATGTTTTAAATGAAGAGAGAGAAGAGAAAGAAAGAAAGTTGAATTTTCTCATTTACTGAAAAAATTAATGGGTTGACTTTCATTGATTTGTTTAGATGTTAACCTTCAGAAAACAATCTTTACACATAGAAGCAGCGTGTTCAGTTAATAACTTGGAACACACGTTTATGACTCGTGGAAGACGGTGACTATTTTGGCCTAATGATGTGTGCTCAGTTTGAGGTCCAGAAACTCTGTTTATCTGGTGTGTGACCTTGGTTGCCTGGTCCCTTGCTGGGAGGTGACAGAAGCAGACTGAAGTGCCAGTTCCAGCGCCCCCATCTCGACTGCTTGACTCTCAGGCACCCGTCTCTCTGACCCAGTGGGAATAGAGGCTCTAACGGCTTCGTGAGCCCTCGGGGATGCCCTCTTGGCTGACTGGGGCCAATTTCCTTCCTCTCAACTCTCCTCGCCTTCTTCATTTCGATGTCACCACGTCCCTTGCGATCCTGTCAGCCAGGCCCACCCCAGAAGAGGGATTCTCGGGCAGTTGGCCTCAGTTTCCTTTTTCCCCTCCCTTCTTCCTTCCACGTGAAATGACATGGACAGGCTCCAAATCCCTTCCTGCTCTCATTGCCCGAGGGCCTAGTGAAGGTGCCAGTGAGATATCTGGGCAGTGGCTCGTCTCTGAAACCACTGAGGGAGGAAGGCGGTGACTCCACGTGCTCTGGCCAGACAGCTTTTCTCTATAGGAAGAGTTGAGATGGCTTTCTGGACAAAGTTGGAAAGCCAAAAGAGCCAGCCAGGGAGCCACGGAGAATAAAGGTAGGTATTCCAGGACCCCCTTGCCGTCTGGGGCATGCCTATCAGACTCAGGGCTGTTTGCGAAGTGGATTTGTCATCCTGTTCTCTCAGGTTTGCAAGCAACTCATTGTTCTCAGAAAAGAGCAGCTTCTGGGGAAGCTCTCAGCATCTGGGTGTGACAACTTCAGGAAGTTAGCTTTCGGCATCAGGCACGGGCCTTCCACTAACAAGGAAGGGGAAGTCATTCCTGGCGGGGTATTAGTTTTCTATTGCTGCTGTCACAAATTTAGCAGCTTCAAACAACAGAATTTATGACCATACAGCTCTGTGGGTCAGAGCCTGACATGGGTCCCCACATGGCCGCAGAGTCCTGTTCTTTTCTGGAGACTTGAGGGGAGGATCCATTTTCTTGTTCATGCAGTTGGCAGAATGCCATTCCTGGAGGCTGTAGGACTGAAGTCTCCATTTCCTCGCTGGCTGTCAGCTGGGGGTTATCCTTTGTGACTAGAGGCCTCTCTCTGGTTCTTGTGCATAGCCCCCTACGTCTCAGAACCAGCAACAGGGCTCCTCCTCACGCTGCCATCTCCCTGGTCTTTCTTCCTTTGTCACATCTCTCCCTCTGACCACAGCTGGGAATGGCTCTCCATTTTTAAGGACTCATGTGATTAGGGTGGGCTCACCCAGATAACCAAAGGATAATCTCCTCATCTCAAAGTCCGTAACTTAACCACGTCTGCAAAGTCCCTTTGCTGAGTAAGGTAACATTCGTAGGTTCTGAGGGTCAGGGCATGGACATCTTTGAGGGGCTGACATTCTGCCTCCCATGGTCAAAGTTAGGCTACATGATCTGTTGACCTTCTACTAGATGTTACACTGGGACAGTAAACCTTTATCAGGTGACTCACACCTCCTGTGTGTGTTGAGAGAACACACAGAGTTGTGGGAACTACAGGGAGCCAGTGCCAGCTGGCCATTGTGCAGAGTAAGATTTGGATGCGTCTGTCTAGGGCATTTTGAGTCAAGCCATCAGATTCACTGAGTAATCAATGTTCACACGCCTTTGTGAAATGCAATTATGTAGGCTAGCTCATAAAGCGTTTTTTTTACAAGATCTGACACAAATGGAACCCACACAGCCTGCTTTTCCTGTTCTAATTTTGACAGGCATAGTAGGACCCTTCTGGAACTTCATCTACTGTCAACTTCCCATCCCCGTCCACCAGCGTGCTGTGGTCCCTTTTAGCCCCTCACCCACAGGCTGAACCCACAAGGGCAGTGCTGCGAGGCCCTGAGCCCCTCCCCTGCAGTGCCCACCTCCTTCCACCTTCCTCAAAGGCCCAGAGCACCTCCCACATGTCCTTCCAGACCCTCTCTGCTCAAAGTGCATGTGAGGACATCAGCTGAGGCCTTGGGAAATGCAGAAGCTCAGGCCAACCCAGATCCACTGAAGCCAAATCTGTGTTTTAATTCAATCCCAGGGAATCATAGGCACTTCAAAGTTTGAGCGGCACTGGGTGAGACCCTGCTAGGTGGCTCCTCCTCCTTGAAGCCCTTCCTGATTGCCTCAGACCCAGCTAAATATGCTCTTCCCACAGCTCCCATTGTGCCCCATTTGGACTTCTTTCATAAGAAAAGAATATATATAACTGGATGTTAAAAGAGACTTTTCCTGTTATCTAGAAATTTCAGCAGAAGCCTCAAAGGCAGAGAACAAAATAGTCAGTGTCAAGAAGCCCCCCCATCTACACAAGGTGCTGAGACTCCACGCAGGACAAGCTCAGAAAGTGGGACACTCCTCCATCTGCATTAGCCCTTTCCCAGTCCCAGCCTTTCAACAGGTCAGCGGGGTTTCTGTGGAGAGGGTTGACTGAGGGCTGTGTGTTCCCACGCCAAGTGCCCTTCCCTGGGGAGGGGAGAAAGGTGCACCACCGCACCTCAAGGTGAGCTAGAAGAGCTTCAGGGGAGCTTTCTTTGTGCCTTTAAATGTTTGGGGGAAACATCAGGACTGGTCTGAGCAGTCAGGGTGGCGCTGCGCCAACGCTGCCCTGTCCCAGAGGGAAAGTTGCTTGATTCCCGTGGACCAAATGTGGGTCGCGAGGTGAGGAGACCGCCCGGAGCCTCCTCGAAAGGAACCCCATCCACAAGGGCTGCGGGGGTTGGGGGTGGGGGCAAAGGGCCCCAGCAGAGAGATGGACCCCTGGAAAGCCAGAGGCTGAAGGGACCCCACAGAGAGATGGACCCTGGAAAGCCAGAGGCTGAAGGGACCCCACAGAGAGATGGACCCCTGGAAAGTCAGAGGCAAAGGGACCCAGAAGAGAGATGGACCCTGGAAAGCCAGAGGCTGAAGGGACCTCACAGAGAGATGGACCCCTGGAAAGCCAGAGGCAAAGGGACCCAGCAGAGAGACGGACCCTGGAAAGCCATAGGCTGAAGGGACCCCACAGAGAGATAGACCCTGGGAAGCCAGAGGCTGAAGGGCTACCACAATCCCCCTCTCCAGCACACACACCCCAACCTCGTAACGAAAATTGTAGCTGGGATGGGGTTGCCAGATTTAATGAATACAAAATACAAGACGGCCATTTCAATTTCAATTTCAGATGAGCAATGGATAAGTTTTTGGTATAACTATGGCACACAAAGTATTTGAGATATACTAAAAATTTATTTATTGTTTATCTGAGCTTCAAATTTAGCTGGGCATTCTGCACTCTATCTGGCAACCCTGGTTGGAAGCTTTACAGCAGAAATCTTGCGGCTTCTCCAGGAAACCTACAGCAGTGCCCCAAACAGAAGTTAGCTATTGAGCCCCAACGTCAGGTCACTACTGAAGCAATCAAATAAGGGCCTTTCTCTCCTCTATCCTTGTTCCTTTCCCCTTCCCTTCATCCCCCACTTCTCATCCGTAACCGTAACCCAGCTAGTGAGCAGGAGATGGAAGAAGGGAGGGTGCAGGAGGAGATGACCACACCCACACCCTCCGCCACTGGAGGAAGGAGACACTTTCATGTAAACGAAATTGAGCATTTTGCTTATTATCCAGACCAGACTGTTGAACAACTCCTGTTCTTGTGACTTAAAGGGACCTGTGTGTGATGCCTGCCTAAGGCATCAGGCAGCGGAGGGGAAGGAAGCGAATCCCGGAGCCACGTTGAAAAGAAGCAGCTGAAAGAAGAGACTCGCTTTATGATTGCACCCTGCTGGGTGGAGCTGGGTCACAAACTGATTTCTTGTTGGTGCATCTATTTCTCTCACTAGTGTCCTATTATGCATCTGTGTCCCCAGTGCCTGGCGTAGGTAGTAGATGCTCAGAAATGTTTGAGTGTTGAATGTCGAAAGCTTCAGGGACTTGACCCATTTTTTCACCTACAGAACCTGCAGAGAGAGTTTTTCTGGCATCGTGTAATCTTTCCCAAAGGTGTGTTGGCAGTGGTAAGACTTCTCGTTACAAAACACGCCAGGTAGGGTGACGGAGACAAGCTGAACTAGGTGTGGAACCTTCTCTAAGAATGTTTGCAGGCACTTATGTTCACAGCAGGGGCAGATCCAGGTTTCTGGGGACCTGAGGCTGATACAAACTGGGACTCCTTCTAAGAAAAAGGATATCAAATTATGAGACAAGATTAGGTGTACGTGTGAATATTAATTTAAGGGAAATCGCAACAAATTACAAATTTTAAAAGGCTGAGAAATACAAACATTGCAAAAAAGCAGAAAAATCACATAGTGTTTGTGTGGTTAACTATCGGATACACCACTGTAACACGTTTTTCTCTACCTTTCTTGGCTGGTGTCCTGGCAGGAGCGGCCTATGATGAGTCCATGTTACCCTCGTTGATGTCAGCATTTGGCGATCCAGTCACCAAGAATACAAGCCTGTTTTCAATAGACTCACGTGATTCACTCTTCTTCATTAGATTGGGTATTCAATTTATTTATGCTCAAAGTGTATCTTTTCCTCTTAATGAAGTACTGCTTTTGGTACTATCTGGTTCTTATAATCTTTCTCTCTTCTTTTGTCATTATTTATATTTTCTTAATTGTGATTTTTCTATGTGATTCTTTTCCTTGATTTCATGCTTTTGTCCATCAGATTTTTTTTAGCATCTGTTGTGGTAGAACAAAGACTTTTTGACATTTTGGAGTTTCTTCTAGTGCTTTTATCTTTTAGTTTTTATCTGAAGCTCCCACTAAGATGCTTCTTTCTTGATACATTTGAATTTTGTATAATCAATAATTCTGAAAGAATATACAACGTTAATCAGAAATAAAAGCACTCTCAAGAGCCATTCAAACGCATTTAAAAATCGCCGAAACATTGTATTGTTACATGTTGCGTAATCAAATCCCTCTTCTGCCACGTGGACCGGTGTATTGTTAAGTATGTGTGAGGGTTTTGGCCCCGTGGAACACTTGCTTCTGTATCTCCGGTGATTTGGTGCCCAGTTTCATCCAGAGCCACCAGACTTCACCATAACAGGATCACGTGCTCTCAGGACGATCTGTTCGGTGGGGACAGGGAACCCGTGAAAGGCATCACATGAGCAGGGGAATGCTCCTTCTTCGCAGAGAAAAGTGGATAAGCAGCGACTCCAGACCAAGTCTTGATGTGAGCTGGAAAGCAGCATGTATTGAAAGCCTTAAAAATATTTATATCCCCCTCAAACACACACACATTCCCATACTTTGACCTAGTAACTTGACTTTGGGGTGTTAATCTTAAGGAAATACTCCTAAAAATGAAAAAAAAATTATTATGCACAAAGATGTTAATAATATTTTCTTAAAAAAACCTATTTGGAATAACCTGCTCAGACAGTAAATGGCTGGTTATCTAAATCATGAAACATCAGCTTGATGGTTATTATTCTTCTTAAAGTTTATGGAAGCTTTGTTCAAAATAGTTCTCACATAATGTAAGCAAAAAAAGCAAGATATAAAATTATATGCACATTTTCATTTCAGCTAGATTGTCATAATCCCTATGCTCGGAAAAATCGTGGAATATACATTATTTTGAAATGTATATTCTATACTTATGTACACTACACATATCATGAACATCCTTCCATATTAATAAATATAGATTTATGATATCATTTTCATAGCTGCATGGTATTCCATTGTATGCATGAACCCAAATTTAATCAATCTCTTATTTTAAGACATTTAGATTGTTTCCAATCTTTTCCTGGTTTAAGTATACTGCAATGAATAATCTTGCACATTAATCTTTAGCCAGTTCTCCAATTATTTCCTCAGAAACGATTCCTAGAAGTGGAATTGCTGGGTCAAAGGCATGTTCAGGGCTTTTGAAACCGATTGCCAAATGACCTTCCAGAGAGACTGTAAACCTCCACTCCAGCGGCCGTGTGGGAGTGGACGCCCTGCCCCTGGCGCCTTTGCAACACTGACTCATTAATTTGCTGTAAAATTGAGAAAATAACTTAAGGGAATATTCCTGCAATAAATTAGAAACTTATTAAAGTTTTTATTCCACAATCCTAGCTTCTTATAATAATGTTGATAGCGGCTAACATTTATTAACCTGTGCTAACCTGTGCAGCTACTAGGTTCCGACACTATGTTACATGAGTTAACTTTTGTAATCCTCTGGGTAGTTCCATGAGGTAGGTACCTTATCAACCTATTTCACATGTGAGGGAAGTGAGGCACAGAGGAGCTAAATAATCTGCTCAGGAAAACACAGCCCAAGGTAATGAAAGGAGGAGCTAAGATTTGAACCCTGGGCCGCAGCCTACACTAAGCCGCACAGGTTCACTCTTGAGGACCCTGACGAGATGTCCTTAAGCTCCTGGTGGGACCGTCCAGCTCAGGGTTCGCCATGGCACTGGAAGTTCCTCTAGTCCATAGTTGAGGATGGGTTTCAGTTTTGGCAGAGGTGTCAAAGAGAGCCATTTAGAAGATGCCAAGAATCTACAGCCTAGCGCGAGGCAGACGCTCTCTGCAGGACCTGCTAAGAGCGGACAAAGCTGGCCCGCTGGTCACCCCAGGCTGGGGTCATGAGACAGTGGTTTCTCTGGAGGGAGCTGGGCAGCACGATGAGGTGACAGTTTCTTCTGGTTTGCCTGGGGCTATCCTGGTTTTAGCGCGGAAAGCCCTTCATCCTGGGAAATCCCACAGTTCTGGGCCAACTGGACAGTCAGGCGCCATGCCCTTGGGGAAAGGTTCTGGCACTTCCCTTTCCCCTCAAGACAAGTGTGAGAGGCTTTGAGGGTCCACTCTGGAGCCATAGGCCCAGGACAGAGCTGACGCCCGTGCATCAGACACCCAGAGGACCCCGTGCCAGGCGCATGCTCTGTCCTCTCCCTGTGGGCCTGACCTCAGCAGGTCTAAACCCGGCTCATGAGTATGGGGTCTCGGGGCGGAGCCAGGACAGAGAAGAAGCCAACCACAGAGACACTCACCCCTCCCACGGCCGCTTCTGAGCTAGAAGTAGGCATCAGCTTGTGGGAGGGAGGGACAGAAACTTAAAATCTAACACAGTTTAGTTTATGACTCTGGCTGGGACATTTTTAGTCAGTGAAATGAGACTTGAAAGGGCCCAGAAGCAAGATGGGGGATTTGGGGATAGTCCCTGGGGATGGGGAAAGATGATTGCGGAGGGCGGGCGGTCTGCTTTACGATTGCTGGCTGCTGGGTCCAGCACTTTCAATAACAGGGTTACCGGAACAGCCACTGTGGGCCCCACCCGGTGCCTGGTTCCTCTTGCCAGGGGTGAAACCACAACTGCTGCCACTGCTACTGCCCAAGGGGCAGGGATGGGGGCTCAGAACCCAGGGCCTCCTCACGGCCTCCCGCCTATTGGCTAGGGCAGGAGCCTTACCCGCTCCAGTACCTGCCTCCCCAAGTGGAGCATCCCAGCTCTCTAAACGGCCAGAGCCCACCCTTCCCTTCCCACAAGCAATCACCGTGAGAAATGGTGCTGGTTATACACACACGACACTTGAACGGGTCCTTTTGTGCATTGTCTTTTTTTGTCCTTATAACTTACCTGTGAGGTGTTATAATCACCCTCATTTTGCAGAGTTTCAGAGAGGTTAAGGAACTAGCCCCAGCTATTAACCAGCAGAGGTGACTTGAAACCAGTTCCATCTCCATCCAAAGCCCGTGCCCAGTGCCCGGTTCTGTTGAGCTTCCTATCTCTTCCCTGGGAGGGACATCCCTCTGCTGGGGCCTGGGCGCTGGCTGTGTTTCCACTATTCCCACTGGAGACTTGGAACGCGCATTTGCATGGAAACAACATGATGAAAGTTTCCTTCAACTGCACGGTGGTTACTTATTGGGTAAGTCGACCTTAGTGACCTGGCCTGGGGTTCCAACCATACTGCACCCTGTGATTTCTGGGGAAGACAACACATCCTGCGTTCTAAACAGCAAATTCCAAACACGCTGTTGGAACACAGCTCACTTGTGAGTTCGGGAATGTCTGCCTGTAAATCATTTTATTCTGAGTGGCAAGAAAATAAGCTGGGCTCTTGGCTTTCACTATTTGGGCTGTTGGTTTAAAAGGGGACAGAGGCAGTGGGGCCTCTCCACAGCTTGTCCTTCTGCAAGGGCATCGCCTTCATGAATTATTAGAGCTCTTGTAAGAGTCTGTGAACGCGGTCTGATGGGAAAGGCTATGGTGCAGTGAGTCCAGGCTGGAGCAGGAGTCAGGTGGTGTGGGTCCAGTCCTGCCCGCGTCCTTCCCCAGTTGTGGAACCTCGGTGAGTCACTTTACGTCTCCAGGCCTCTGCTTCTCAATCTGTAAAGTAAGGGGGTGATGCTAGAGGACCCCGAGGTTCTCTTCCTGTTCTCAGATCCGAGGAAACACAAACAGCCTCAGGGGTGGAATTTCAAACGAGGGGTCTGCTCAGAGACCGTGTTTCTTTCTTTTACTTCTCTTTGTGATTTTTTTTTTTTTTGTCTCTTAGTAGAGGTATTCTGCTTAAGCAAGGGCAAAAGAGAAAAAGGGAAAGTCAGGTTCTTTTGCGTTAAATGGAGCGTTTAATGATGGATAAGCAAAAAGATGCGTGATGGGCCTTTTTCTCACGTTGGATGTTTGGCTAATAGATCAGCAGATCCTGGCATCCGAGTGACACCCTGCATTGACGAGGGCGGAACTTGGCTCTCCCGCCCTTCCAGCTGCGAGAGCTTGAAAGGGAAGCTCCGGGGGAATGTCTTTCATTTGCCCCTGGAAGCCGGGAGGCGTTCAGCTCGCGTTGCCGGCTGCGCAATGTGGGCTTGCCTCTAAATGAAGCATTTCTGCCTGGGCGCCTTTCAGGCCTCAGGATTCCCCTTGGCACCCCCAACCCCTTGGAACAAAACCCAATGTGAAGCCTGGGTGCTCCTCAGGCAAGCCTGGGAAAGAATTCGCTTAATAATGGCAGAAAGGCCTTGCTATGTCTTCGGTGGCTTTTTTTTTTCTTTCTGCTTTTTCTCCCCAAATCCCCCCAGTATATAGTTGTATATTTTAGTTGTGCGTCCTTGTAGTTGTAGTACGTGGGACACCACCTCAACGTGGCCTGATGAGCGGTGCCATGTGTGCGCCCGGGATCCGAACCAGAGAAAACCTGAGCCGCTGTAGCGGAGTGCGTGAACTTAACCACTCGGCCACGGGGCTGGCCCCTTCAGTGGCTTTTTTTAAAGCTAGGATTTGGTTTGTCTACTTGTTTGGTTTTGCCTTATCTCTTTCAAGAAAAGTGACTTACAGCAACGACACTTACCACAGAATGCTCCTCGGAAAACAAAAACAAAAATAGAGGTAGAGATTCAGGCCCAAGGAAAACAGGGATAGAAAATCAAGATGGGGTAAAAGAAGGGCACAGAGGTGTGGACTGTGACGGCCGAAGAGTTATTCTACTTGAGAGTAAAGTTTGGCTTGCTGACGTTTTCCCAGTGTGCAAGCAAGAGCGAGCTACACGGACAGCTGCATAATTCCTCAGAGTAGGGAGAAGGAAAGGGTTGCAGTTACTCAGAAGAATGTTCTCCTGTCCACTCATTTCACAAACATCTATTAACTGCTCACCCTGCGCCGGGCACTCTCTGAGGCAATCCAAGGTGAGAGGGCGGCACGCGGCCCCGGAGAGCTCAGAGTCTGAGGGAGGCCGGACGAAGGAATGATGCGTGTCAGACACTGTGCACATGATCATGCACCTCCTATGTACCGGGTGCTATGTGTTTAGTTATCACCTACCATATGCCCCACACTATACATTTTTGATTAATGTTCATATTACAAACACTCACTCAGGTGGACACTGTTAACTCCTTTTTACAGATAAGAAAATAGACTCAGTGTCTGTTCCCACAGCTGGGAAAAATTGAAGGTGGGATTCAAATCAAAGGCCTTTTCTATATGGTGCTGTACTGTCGGTGGTCTCCCTAACATCCATTATTCATCCCTTCTCTTTCCTAACAGAGCCTCAACTTTGTTTAACTATTTACCACTCCTCAGAAAAATAGCTTATGTGGGCTGAGGGATGATGGCCCCCTTTTCAACCCTTGGGGGCAGGAGGGAAGACTGATTAATCTAAACCAATCACAGTGACCCCACGGCAGTGACTGATTTGAGAATCTGGGCTTAGACCAACCAATATATGACATTCTCCTGGTGACTATCTTAGGTCTAGGATGACAGCAGTGGGCACAATAAGATTGGAGGGAAGATCATCTGTTTTGGGGGATAAGTTTTTCCCCCTTACTTGCTGAAAATAAACTAGCAGGCATCTTGCTCTTGGCAGCCCCTTTGTGACTGGGGCGAGCTGACCATTCTGATACCAAGGGTTCTGACACCAACGGGTGTGCTGCAGTACGAGTCCCCAGGCACAGACAGACATCGCACCTGGAGTGAGTGCAGACCCCGCAAGTTAAAGGGCACAGTCCCCAACAAGACTGCCCCCACTTTAGATGCTAGCAGCAAGGGAGGTCCCAGCCACTCGCATTTCTGATGAATTGGCTGCAAATCCACAACACCCTTCTGCTTCAATAACTTGCTAAAATGACTCAGAGAACTTAGGAAAGCACTGTCCTTACGACTATGGTTTCACTGTAAAGGATGCGAATCAGGAGCACAGGGCAAGGTCTGGAAGGTCCCAAACACGGAGCGTCTGTGGAATCAGGTGCATCATCCTCCCAGCCCATCACTGTGTTCCCCAACTACGAAGCTCTTCTGAACTTGAACTTCAACATCTAGAGTTTTTATCAGGGTTTCCTTATGTAGGCACGATTGATTAAACATTGGCCACACGATTGAACTCAGTCTCCAGCTCTCCTCCCATCCTTGGAGGTGGGGCCGGGTCAAAACCCCAACCCTCTAATCACATGGTGGTCTTTCTGACCAGGCCCACCCTGAACCATCTCATTAGCATCAACTCAGGTGTGTTCCAAGGGGCCCACGAATAATAAAGACACTCCTATCACTCAAGAAATCACAAGGTTTGAGAAGCTCTGTGCCAGGAACCCAG